ATATATATAATATATATATATTTTTTACTAACGTTGAAAATCTTTATAAAAAATGATATTTATATTTTTCTGTAATACGAACTGTTTGAAGATATATACAAAGATTAGATTAATATTAATTCGTTTCATTTCCTTCTTGGAATATTAATCTTTTTCAGAAATGATAAAATCATGTATATTTAAGTATATGACATGGCAAGTATGGAAGCAAAACTTTGTATTCTTATGACATTTACGAGTTTAAATGCAAAAATGCATTTAAACTCATAAATGCATTTTTGAAAAATATAAGTATTTAGAATATATTTAAAATATTCGTATTGAGCGGGCCATTTATAACAAAAATTTTATTTATTTTGTACAGTTATACATTTTAAAATATTTATGTTGCAAAATGTTTTGGTCTTTTAATTTAACATTGTTGATCTAATTTAATATGTTGACCCGATCGAAATATATAATATGTAAAAACAATCTCGAGCAAATAACATTTTTTTATTTTAATTTTACAGGATCCCTATATGCTTTACACGTTGATTCTTTCAATCTTTTTGTGAGGATAATAGAAACAATTTTTTTTTATCTTCAATGCCCATCGATAAAATGCACGGAAATAAAACCCTGTTACTTACGATCGATTGAACATATTAACTTGATATTGAGTAATAGGAAATCTTAGCGCGAGTCAGATCTGAGGCAGAACGTTTGCGAAAAGACAGGATGAATCGGAACAATTAGCTAGATATCGAGTGCAATCAAGCGAAAAATTGAGACGAAAGAAAATCGCGCACCAAGCGATTTCAAATAGAACTCGAAATAGAAATTCTATCCGGGAAATTCTAAACTGGAATTTTGAGATACGTAAAAGCGCTTGTTGTCGCTTACCACAGCTATGCTTATTTTAAATTCATAAGCACAAGTGCATAATTTGCATCGACGTAATTATTCCACGAGCGAAATTTCGAACGAAAAGTGTTCTCCAGTAAGAGGGGCGTACGACTTAATATATAATATATATAATATAAGCCGCGTGAGTATAGAATATAAAGTGGTTGCGCCGTATGCTGTATTGCATATCTAATGAATCGATAAACATCGCTCCACTTTCGAAAGTTTCCGCGGTGAGATTTCAATGTGACGTGTTACACAGATTATTGCACCCTCGAGAAACGAACGAACTGCCTAAAGACGAGCCACTCCATAACGTAAAACACTATTGAATATAAAGGATCATGAGTTATTTATTTTCGACTTGCATATTATGTATTTAGTCATGAAATCTATGTAAATGTGGATTGCAAATGTGCATATAGTCCAAATTAATAGGTGTCATCAGAATTTGCCGTTGCATTTTAGGTCAAATCCTCAGAATAATGCATTGAACTGTATTACATTGAACTGTATTAACAGGAGATGAAAGAGTAATATAGTTGAATAAATTTCGCACCAGCATATTAATTTTAAAGCCATAATTACAAAAAATATATCAGGCTATATATCAGGCTATATATCTAGTACGGATAATTGTAATGCCTATACGAAAAGAAGATTTTGCTAAACTATTCAAAAATTTAATACGTAATATATATACACGTGTATACTGTTTTTATTTTGTTCTTTATTCTGACGAAATGTGCTGTTTCAATTTATATTTATTTAGATTACAATTTTATTAATTAAGTTAAAGTATTATCGTTGGCATTTTTCCCATTAGATGGCATTAAAAAAACGCCACGAACTTTTTCCCACATCTAATATGTTTAATTGAATGAAATGTTTTTTTAACTGATAAAGATTAAGTGAAGTTAAAATGTTATATATATTTTATTGGTTTACATGTATGTTATTGTTGAAAAATTGTAGTTACATCTTTTTAAAATTAACATCTATTATTTGTTTGTTATTAGCCATTATTCTCTTTTTTTAAATTTAACTAGACATAGATCTGACAATAATTTAGACTGTCAAAATAATTACATAAAATGTACTAATTACTTGCTAGAATGTTTAATGTAAAATTTGTTGCAACATTGTCCATTGTGCTTGAACGTTCTACATAATTATTTTGATAACCCAACAAAATTATTTTATTAAATTTTTAGATACTTCAGGAAAATCATTTTTTCCGTATACTGTTAATTGCTACAAAAAAAATTGAAGCGATTATTTTTTATCCATATGTCACACTGAGCAAAAAAATTATTTCTTTAATTAAAATAATTTAGTTGGTCTTTATTTCATTTAACTAAAATTAATTTAGTTTATCTTTCTCTCTTACATACATTCTTTTGAAGAATGTATGTAAATACATTAATTTACATACATTCTTCAAAAGAATGTAAATATATTAATTATATTTGACTCAGATACATACATTCTCCGACAAAAGAAATAAAGACGAACTGAATTAATTTGATCAAATGAATATTTCTTAGTGCATATATTTAGTCACGAAATTTGCGTAAATATCGATTATTACATAAAAATGTGCAGATTTCAAATAGTAATCTTCAGATTTTTTGTCACATTTTAAGTTGAATCATTGGTAATTTTGACTTGTATCACATTGTAAAATACGAAGAGAAAATAATTTCGTGGCCGGTAAATAAGTCCTGCACCAAAGTATTAACTTTAAAATCGTAATTACAAGCGAGATACATTGGACTATATATACGCTCAGCGTAAATAATTGTAGCGCCTACCTGCGCCACCATAAAAAAACAGAAGTAAAGCAACTTTATTATTTCGAAATTCCACGTTTATGCCAAGATAGCGAGATGGGAAATAGCATCTGTGAAATAAAATAAAGAATAAAAAAAGCTGTAACCATCCTTTCATGGATAACGGCAAGTTAGCGCGGCAGAACATTCTTTTATCATGATTTTATCGTACGATTCTACCATAAAATGCGATATAGAGACATTCAAAAGTACGTGTATGTGTCTTTACTGGGGAAAAAAAAACTAGAAAAAGAAGAAGATTTGAAGCTCTAGAAAAACATCAAAGACGTTAATCCTTGCAACGTCAACATCTTTATAATATCCCTGCGTTTCTTTCCACGCAAATTAATTTTTATTTATTCCTTGTCTCACTGTAGATGTGTCAATTGTGGCTGCAGCTGTTATGTAGTCACGCTTATGATAATTTGGCTTAAGCTAACTCCAATTAAGTCTCCCCTGCCTCGCATAAATCATCAAACTCCAATAAGCCTCGCATTCATACAATCTCTCTTTGTCTTTTCGCAGAGTAATCTGACAGACGGGGAAGAAGATCTGCCTGAAGACGCTTTCTCGCTGCTGTCGGTGCTCGTAGTTGGTTCGCTAAACTTTCCATTTGATCGATCGCGAATCGCCCCTCGAAGACAGCCTCCCAAGAGTGTCTACTCTCGGAAGCTCCGATCTGACCCCGTCCAATCATATCGGTGGTAGTCTTTGCCTTTCTCTCCCTCTTCCTAGGCTCTCTCTCTCTCGACACCTTTTTGCTACCCTTATCCCTTGAACGCTCTCTTGCTGCTTAATATAATCGATAGAATCAAATAAATTATGATTAGAGGCATGTCCCGAGAGTGTCGTAATTTCTGTCACATCGATACTCATCACGAAACTCCAACGATGTCCTTCATACAATATTCCTATACTATAATCTTGTAATATTTTTTTGCTAGAAATGAAAGAATTTTAATTGTGTAGAGACTTTTTATTTAAGATTTAATAGACGAAAAATCAAAAGTCTAGATCTTGTTTTTAAAAACAACATTTTTAAGATCTATCAAAATACATTGAAGTGTGACAATTTATTATATATTTAAAATTAGAAATATTGATTTTTAATTTTTTCTTCAAGTAAAACGTTTATATAAAATCAGATATAAGATAAAATCCTTCTTAAAGAGTCGCCTATGCAGAAGACTTGCCTGAAATTGTAAGAGACAGCAAGAGTTGTCCTGATCGACGTTTTAGCATAAATTACTTTACTATGGTGCTTACGTTATCGATAAAATAAAGGTTCACGAAGCGAATTATATACTCTGCTGAATCTAGCCTTTTAAAGGGGATATGCACATGAACCAGAACGGATTTATCGGCTCTTTGTTCATTTTGTTCACTCAGCTTCACTTGTATACCATCTTTTCAACATTCGCGTAACATATTAATTATAGAAATACATGTAACGCCAAATATTAAAAGTCACAGGAGATTATGGCCACTCTCGAATTTTTCCCGATGAGTAATCGATGCCAATTTCCCCAGAAATGATTTCATTAAGACGAAAGTCGGAACTTCCGAGATCCTTTATAAATAACATTTATTATATCGTGTAGTAAAAGTTTTAATACGTATATCTCAAAATTTCTCGGAAAAAAATATATATTCATTATACAGCATTCAATACTAGTAGTAATACCAATATTTGCGCTGTATCAGCATGACCCGGCTCTTCTCATTCATCCTTCAATTGAATTCGATGAATAGCAACGAATCATATTTCATCGACCAACACGACGTCGGATTTCTTAAAGGCCAACGCGCTTCGAGGGGCGATATGTTGTACGGTTGAACAGTAGCGTGTCCTGGCAATTCTCCGCTAGACGGATCTCCACGATATCCGTAGGATTCCTCCTCGTGATCCTGATATTCTTCTCCGTTGCCGGCAACGTCTTGGTCTGCGTGGCGATTTACACCGATCGCGGACTACGGAGGATCGGCAACCTCTTCCTGGCCTCCCTGGCCGTCGCCGACCTCTTCGTCGGTGGGCTGGTGATGACCTTTGCCGGGGTCAACGATCTCCTCGGCTACTGGATCTTCGGAATGTGGTTCTGCGACATCTGGATCGCTTTCGATGTTATGTGCAGCACTGCCTCTATTCTGAATCTATGCGCCATATCACTCGATCGTTACATACACATCAAGGATCCCCTTAGGTGAGATTACGACACCAAAAAAACAAAATTTTGCTAAAGTATCTTAAAATTTAGGTAAGTACAGATCTGAAAATAATTTTGTTGGAAATAACCTAAATAGGGTAAGTTGATACAATTTTGAACATGATACAATTCTGAAAGAAATAAGATTTGAATTTGATCTAAATTCTAAATTTAAGTTTGATAATCTTGATCTCATTATACTAAAGGAAACTGTCAAAAAATACTGAGAAAAAATAAAACTTAAATCTCAAAAAATTGGATTCAAATCTTATTTTGTTTACATAGAATTGTATCTTGTTTGAAATTATTTTCTGTCAAAACAATTATGTCGCTCAAACTTGCTATTATATAATGTTAAAAAATTTTTTGCGATATTGCTCATCATGCTTGAGTTTCCTACATAATTATTTTCATAATCCAAATTTATTTTCAGATTTGTAGAATATCTACATAAATTTTTAAATATTTCAACAAAATCATTATTTGTATCTTCAAAGAAGGATTATCGAATAATTTGTAAATTAAAAACTTTTTCAGTGTGGTTAAAAGACATTTTTACAGGATAAAATTATTTATATGAGAGAGATATAATTTTGTGGAGAGTTTCAAATAGTTAAACAAAAATTGTTAGAAAATAATATTAAAATTATACTTGAAAATATTTTTAAAAATTCCTAAGAAATTATGAGTATAAATTTTCCCTTATAAAAATAAAAATCTGAGCATGCGAGATATAAATACAAAAGAGAGAGAAACAGAAATATCAACGAAACTTCTATGAAACGTAAATTGAAACAGCATAAAAAAATATTTTATGCTGCTTCAATTTACGCTTCCTAGAAATTTTGTTTACGCTTCTGTTACTCTCTCCTTTCACTTTCCCCCTACATTTAACTTACATTCCGGTCTTTATTTCCATCAGAATTCAAAAAGATGAGAATTATAGAGTTTTAAAATAGAGTTTGTCAAATGTTGTTGTTTTAGGTACGGCCGTTGGGTGACCAGGAGAGTTGCCATTGGTGGCATCATCGTTGTATGGCTTCTAGCAGGACTTATATCCTTCGTACCGATCAGTCTAGATCTTCATAGGAATGATGATCAACCCATGTATGAAGAGATAGTGGAGGTAAGATATCCGCGAAGTTTAATTGCGTTGATTTATTAATATCAGCAATTCAATACGGTCTGTTTGAATACGTAATGAAACGATTTTCTACTGAACGAACTTCAGCTCTTGAGCAAATTATAGGTTTTAATTAGTGAATAATCCTTTCTATGAGAAATTTATAAAATACGAATCCGTTTATTTCAATATTTGAAGTGTACATATTAGGTGTGGGAAAAAATTCGTGGCGTTTTTCCCATCTAACGGGAAAAACGCCACGAACTTTTTCCCACATTTAATATTATTTAAAAAAAAGTTTACAATTATAAATATTACTCTGTGTTCTACACGGCGCTCACACACTCGTGAATATTTCTCCTTGTTTAACATTTGATAAGCAACGAGGATGATTCCAAAAGTGTTGCAAATACCAAGTGGAATGCAGCACGGAAATTTCCAAGTATTCTCTACGGTGGTATCAATCATGTGAAATTAAATTCATATCAAGTGTTATAAAAAAAAAATATGTAAATGTTATTGCTTTCGAATACCCAGAGGGATTAAAAATAAATTTGTTTGACTGGATAGGTTTCTTACAATTAATGAAATTGTAATTCGTTTAAATTTTAATACGCAATATTAGAGATGATACGCAATAAAGCCGCTTTAAAAGAGTAATTACACTAATTTTGATAGATTTATTAAGTTGAATTAAATTTATTTTTAAATGTCTTGACAAGTTAGTCTTAAATCTATTTTATAGTGTTAGCTCCTAATTCAGTTTTGGTTAATGATTGTGCAGTTCGTTATTAAGATCCAATTTTTTATTTTGATTTTTCATCGATGCAAAAAACTACTCTCACAATTAAGTCCGATTTTTCATTATCTGGTTAATTTGTGGTTAAGCTTAACCACAAATTAATAAAAAGTTAGACTTAATACACAGCACAGAAGATTGAACCAATATTGCTGCAATGTTACAATATTGCAGATTGCAATGTAACATTGCAAAGATATTACAGAAATATAAATTAACAATGCTTGCAATATGTCAGTAATATGCATGTAATATTCCAGAAACATTACATACAAAACTGTAATTCTTTAATTATTATAATAATATAAAAATATAATTTTTTAATAATATTTATATAGTATAATCTTTTAGTTTAATAATCGTTTTTATGATATAATAATTAATATAATCCATTTTTATATTTCAAAAAACTTTATTAATCCATTATTTGACGGTCATTTGACGGCCATTAGCTAAATTTTATATTTATTTTGAATATGGATTAAAAGTTTATATAATATCGAGTTTGGATACAATGCATTATTATCGGATAAGATGATAAGTAATTAAGCTACTAAAAACGATTTATTGAAATATTAATTATGTGATCGATGATGTATTTATGCCTAATGCACGCAGAAATAAATCAGTGTCCTTTATTGATAAATTTCATACCGTCATTTCTTAATCGATTTCAATTGACTCGGAGTGGCTTCAAATTGAAAAGAATCATTGTAATTAATTTAATTCATGATTAACTTATCAAGCGATTATATTATTATGACTATATTATTAATATGGATAATATTGGGTGTGTAATTCTGAAGGATAAATTTATTCCTAAGGATAAAGCATGTATGTGTGTATCTCGAACAAATATTGGATTGTCCGGAAAGTTCGTGCCGACTAAAATTTAAATTTTAGTGTACATTATTAAATTAAAATTTTCTGCGTTTCAATTTTCCTTCAACATCGGCACGAACTTTCCGGATAATCCAATATTTGCTCGAGATACACACATACATGCTTTATCCTTAGGAATAAATTTATTCTTCAGAATTACATTTATTAATAATATTTTATGGTTTTATCATAAAAAATTGCTTTTGAAAAGCACATATCATTAGAAACGCGATTTGTAGAAAAATTGAAGTTAGTGAGATATATATAGAAAATAGTTTTGATTTTAGAGTTTTTATAAAAAATTTATCCAAATCGTTAAAAATACATTACATTGCAATATTGCTGAAACGTTTCGTTGCAATATTACAAAAAGCGGACATCTTAACATTGTTGGAATCTTACAGCAATGATTCAGCAACGTTTCGCAACCACCATGCAATATTGCAATGATTCAGTGAAATCATTTTGCAATGTTTCTGTAACTTTTCTGTGCTGCATGGGAATTGTGAGAGTAATTTGTTTGCATTGTCGGATGAGAGAATGTGATATTTTCATCTAAAGAGTTTTTCTGTAGCTAGCTCTCACTAAGTACAAATTTTGAAATTGTCTGTATATACAAGATAACACAATTTGAACTCATGACTTGTTGGTTACGAGTCTGTCGCTCTCATACAGAGCGACATACAATTTCTCGACATAAATACAAATCAGCTGTTTTCATACGAAGCTAACACTTCATCCCAAAAATGAAATTTTTCGTTTTATCCTGTCACATCGTTTGCATCTGAAACATTGCAATTTGCGCAATCTTTGTCATTTCTCTCGTTAATTATTCATCTTTTACCTTTACAGGAGCACCCTACGTGTGCCCTAGACATTACACCTACCTATGCGGTGGTGTCCTCTTGCATATCTTTCTACGTGCCCTGCATTGTAATGCTGGGTATTTATTGCAGGTAAGATCGCCCACTGACGCCCACCACTATTCAGACGCAAATTAATTTAACTTTTTAGTTCGCACTCTTACCATAATCGTTCGCCATATTCTCTATGAGTGACGTAGCTCATATAACGTTCTATAAAACATGACTAGCTCCGGTAATCCGCAATCCCGAATGAGTTTGAAAATAAAAACAATGCGCTCGAAAAAAGCTCGCATCTTCGTTTAAAAATCCATAGAAGATATAAAACACGTATGCAACAATACCGAACATATCACCAATTCGTTTAGCGGAACAATGCGTCGGATGCCGAATGATAAATTTCCAATAGGTTGAATCATTTCTTTATCCACTTGATTTCATTTCTTTATATAAAAATGTAATTGTATATTACCATCAAGATTGGATGTGTTCTCTTCGGAAAGAATAGTTTATTGGAATATATAATAATTTAGTTGAATACAGATTTAGATCTGAAAATTTTGTTGGACTATGAAAATAATTATATACGTTTAAACTGATTGTTAGAGTGTCAAAATTTTTAACAGCGTCTGTTATCATGCTTGAGTTTCCTACACAATTATTTTTGATCCAACGAACTTATTTTCAGATCTGTATCTATCTAAATTTGTATTCAGGTAAATTATATACTTCAATAAACTGTTCTTTCCGTTGATTTTTAAATTATATTTTATATTTTTCTTTCTCTGAATAATAATTTAAAAGTAAATCGAAACGCATATATAGAATACAGATGCATATTATACTTTGCGAATGAGGTGAATAATTAAAGTGTTTTTTTTTTATAAGTAACTACGCACTAAATATCGCGCTAACGCTTCCCCTTTCTTATCTTTCTTTAATTTGTAAAACTTGAGAGTTTTATTGTATCTTACTTATCGTTAAACTTTTAAACTTTTATTTCAGCTTTCCGTGTAATAATAATATGAATGACTGAAAAATGAAGAGAATTTTATTTCATGCATTAGCGAATGCTTCCTTTTCTAGGCTCTATTGCTACGCGCAGAAACACGTGAAAAGTATCCGAGCAGTGACGAAACTGCCGGACACCTCCATGGCCAAGAGTTTTCGCTCGAAGAGCAGTCGTTGCAAGCCACCGAAGCCGCAGACGAAGACGAAGCCAACCAGCCCTTATCATGTGTCCGACCACAAGGCCGCGATCACAGTTGGTGTAATCATGGGCGTATTCCTGGTATGCTGGGTGCCCTTCTTCTGCGTCAATATCGTCGCAGCCTACTGCAAGACCTGCATATCTCACCGAGCGTTCCAGGTGCGATTTTTTGCAAACTCCAAAGTTGTTCGTTTCAATTTAATTGAATTTTTTTAAAACTTTTCAGAACCAATTCTTTTTTTCTCTTAAAGAAAAGATTAACTGAAAATATCAAACGATCATTATTGATTATTTTTACTTTTTAATTAATATTTCTTGTGTTAAAAATAGGATTTTTTTACTTTTCAATAATTATGTCCTTTATACTGATTAACGTTTGGATTTTCGTCACTTTTTTATTTTTATAATAATTTTATCACTTGATCTTTTTAATGAATAAGAAATATTGAAATATTTTTAATATTAAATTCCGATCTACAATAGATATAGTAGACCTTTAGTCTTTTGCTCTAAGCTCCGAGTTGCTCTAAGCTTTAAACTTTACAATTGAGATCTGACCAACTCGCTTACGGCTTAAGACAACACCGGAAACATTTTACTGAAAAAAAGTCACAGAACTTAGAACAAAAGGCTAAGTGCTTACCGCACCCATAGATCGGGTCCAAGTGACATAATAAATCTTTTATTCTGAATCAATCTCGAAAATATGGAAATTGCTATTATAAAATTCTTCCCTCTAAAGAAAAGTGAGAATTTTTTTCTCACACATAGAACAATTTTTTATTTGCGGATTTTTCCGATTTTCGTTATATAAAGGTATATCAAAGTCGTTTTTCCCTTTCCAAACAGGTTCTCACGTGGCTCGGTTACAGTAACTCGGCCTTCAACCCGATAATCTACAGCATTTTCAACACTGAATTCCGGGAAGCGTTCAAGAGGATCCTCACGAAGGGGGCACGCGCGCGAGGCAATCAGCCATCGACCAGCGAGTGCGGCGAATTCCGTTCAGTGGTGGTGCAGAAGCGGAACGGTTCCATGGTCGAGTGTAACATCAGTCCAAGATCGAGCGCAGACAGCTGCCAGGTCGGCGTCATGGCTCAACGACATCGCGACACCATCGTCAGTGCCATATAAAGCGAGCTTGTCTTTCGACTTTCTCGGTCGCTTTAAACAATTTCTTTCCTGGATCTCGCTCTCGCTGCTCGCCTTTGAAGTCGTCGCGATCGTGCTTCATATCTCGTCGAAGAATTTGCGAATCTGGAGATATCATTCTGGCAGAGAATAACAACATTAACGGGCGAATTAAAATATGCTTCGTGCAAGAGAAATTCGTTCTTCATAGTGGCGTGTTAAACTTCTGCAATCTTCCGCGAATATACGAAATAATTTTATTTTAGCATTTAGATTTATATTCTTTGTTTACTTTTAAAATTTATTTCGAATTCGCAATGCAAACCGTTGTAAAAATACATCGATGGCAAATTGCACAACTTCTAATAGAATGATATCGCTTATTGTTATTGTTTCGTACGAACTTGCAATGTACATAAAATCAGCATCGCCTGTACCAACAAGCACAGTTTACTCTCGCGTACTAAAGTTTAGTATTTGCATCCGCGAAGGAATGAACGCCAAACTGCTCAAAGGAAGACTGCAGCTGCAGTTGCAACGATGTCGTGCTCTGGCTATACAGTCGCGTAAAATAAGCATAACTGAGGATGTGGATAATACTCTCTGCTATATTGAATTTCTCCTCACATAATATCAATCAGTGTTCTAGTTAGTCGTTAATTTAACCCGAGAATTCTCTTGGACCAATAGAACATGCGTTGCTCGTATTTCTTCGATATCAGATTCTACAAAAGCAATATTAGTAAATGCAGGAACAATGTAAAACGAGACGTTTGCCAAATATTAAACAGAGTGTTTGCTAAAATCTTGTAAAAAAGTTTCCTGAGAATTCCTGGATATTTTCTAGATATTTTTATTCATAATTTCTGATAAAAAATTAGAGAGTTTAATATAATTTTGAAATAAATTGGAGTGCAAAAAAACAAACTATATTTTGAAAATTAGTAAAAGTCAGAGATTCTATGAGACTATATCTTTCGTTGTCTACAATTGGAGCGCAGAAGAGAGTAAGTTACTCTTTTCTATCGAATATTTCTTGTTTTTTAATTTTATAAAAATTTACAACACACTAATATTTACGTAATATGCGTAAATTCTTTTTTTTTTCTTAGTCCTGGTTTTTGTTGTTGATAGGCTTTGTAACAGCAGTTTTGCTGATGCCTAACCATTTGCAAGCTACTACAGTTTATTATACTACATTTTATGTCTATTATTCTGTTAACATGTAGTCTTTTCATGGAGCTTTGCAATGAAGTAAATTAAATTAAATTAAATATGTGTGATGTATATGTCATATATTAGAATGTAGAGAAAGTTTCCGCGTATTTTTGACAATTTTTCTTTATTAAAATAAAATGAATGGTTAGTCAAAGTATTTGCCATCATTTTCTATCACCTTTGTCCATCTTTTAGACAGTACACAAATATCACGTCGAAAATTCTTCAACGCATGTAAACAATCGGCATGCGCGAAAACTTTCCCTACAATCTATCACATTAGGCCTGTTCTTTTTCTGAACCTTTTGCACCATTTCATCTTTCTTCCTTTTTTCTCCAGAAGAAAAGAAGTGAAAGAAAGATGAATTAGTGCAAAAATTCAGCTAAAAAGAATAGGCCTATTATTGCTAATCGATTATCAACATTTTGTATTAGCAAGAAATAATCAAAGAAATAACATTTGCAGAAAAACAGAATTTAAATTTAAAATTAAATTTCCCTGAATAGGTACCAATAAAATTTCATGAAAATCCCTGATTTTTAAGAGGAAAAAGAAATTCCATAAAAATTTTAAGTTTTCCAGGTTTTTTCAGATGGTAAACATCTTTTACAAATGAACACTTCGTACGTCGTGTCTCTGTCTCTATGGCCATCGTCACGATTTGATTAACCGATGATTGTGATTAGTAACGTGTAGATTTCTTCAAAGTGCGATATTTTCATTGTAACGCATTTTGCGTATTCGCACGATAGAGGAATATCTCTTTTTTTTTTATAGCAAAAGAATGAAGGCTGTGGTGTTCGACCATGTAAATGCGACATTTTGCGAAGACATCAATTATTGTAATTAAGACAATCACCGGAACCACTTCAAAACATATCCCGAAGACATAATCCACCATGAAATCGTAATGTTATCTTCTTTTTTTTTTCTTCATTCATTTTCCTTTTTTTTAAGCGACGGCAAGCGTAGAGTGGGATTTATCAATTAATAGAAGAATCCAAGTGTAGCACTTAGGATACTAATCTCATCAAGCAATCTCTTTAATGAAGCAACGTTGATAACAATGTCGATAGCCAATCTACAATATTAAAAGCTGGATGTTACTCAAAAATACTGGTGTGTTTCTAAATAGTAACGTCTATCGAAAGTCATGGGAAATACATATATATATATATATATAT